ATAGATCTATTCATAAACTTAAAGTTGTGTGCAGCCTTTGCTTGTAATAAAAAAATTCATAATTATTAAAATAGAAATCATGAAGCCTTTTGGAGTAAACTGCAGAGGCTTTACAAGGAAGTTAAAGGAATGACTTCTGAATAAATCACTTTATGACAAATAAAAATGTGGGGACAGAAGAAAATTTCAGGTATAAAAGAATATTATCATACTGTTTATTACATACCACAATTTTAATAATTGAAGAGCTTTCATGTGCAACAGAAATCCTAGGCAGATACATTGTAGGCTACAGTTTAGAGCAATATCCTACTGCCCTCTTCAGCAGAAACTGTCCAGTTAAATAAAAGTATTAATTCACCTCTCCCACAAAATATTAACTTCAGTTAGATAAGATCATCCTTTCCTACAATAAAATGGAATATTTAAATAGTAATAATGCACTGCAGTCAATATATCCATCATCTAATCTGGTTGCAAATGTAGCACTAATAATTTGTTGTATGGACTAGAACATGTTCACAAAATACAAATAGTCCACTGCTCTAGTGGCTTAGGAGACAGTTATTTTAACAAATTAAGATTACCCAACTGCAAGGCACTTCCACTTGGACCAATACTTAAACCAAATTATGAAATATATTCTGACTATGACAGCAAAATGATATTGTTGCAACTGGGTCCACTGACACAACTTCATTTGCCTTGGAGTCAGGCTCTAAGAAACATATTTTCATGCTCAATTAGAGTTATTTTTTAAATAATTGAAATATTTGGGCCCATCTCTGGAACTACACTCAATCTAGAATTTTCTCCTATAAAAAGCCAGTATCTGTTCCGGTTTGCATCTGTGTAACTTTATTGTCTTTGGTGGCAAGAGTAACTAAGAATATAATTAGTCCAGAGATTTTCTTCTCCTCTTGTATTTGTCTGGGTGAATATGAAGATAATACAGATTGACTGACAGTTTGCTGAAGATACTGATTTGGAATAAATAATCAATTTCTTTACGTTGATAGCACACCAACCAGGGTTTTGTGATATCAAGATTAAGGACTCATGTGACAAACATAATTCTGGAATGATTGTATTTAATTGATAACCAATTGTTTACAAACTAGATGATCTTAGCAGTGAAACATGATACAAATTCTCTCAGAGGGTAAGATAAGGAGGGTGTATTTTTAAACTCATTATGTGAACGGTAGAGTTTAAAGAAATGGGGGAGGTCTGGATACTTCTATTTACAACACAGAAGCACCACTTTGTGTTTGTTAAATTTCAGTCCTTTTTTTCATTGTAAACTGAAAATAAAGGAGGTTTTTCAATTTATATTAGCTAAAAATGGATCTCAGTAATTACTGCATTTTTCCTTAGGAATTATTAGGAATATACATGCAGTAACGGGGGACAGGGACTGGGGGAGGGGAGAAGAAGGACACACAAAAACCCTGCTCATCCATAAAGGTCTCCCAGTAATTCAAATGCATGCAGCACTGTTCGCAAAGTAAAACACTGCCAGCCATATAGAAACACTAGAGACTGACTGTCTAATAAAAAGAAGTAAGTTGTCATAAGAAGCCATTCTCTTTGTCTTGAGAAGCGATTCTCTTGAAATACACAGACATTGCCCTTTAGTGCTCATTGTGGGTGTGTGAAAACATTCAAATGAACCAGTAGAAGTTAAGCCATTTAGTTTAAGCAGTTGGAAACTCGTCTGAAAGAATTCTGTACATAAGTTCATGGGGTCAGCCGCTTGCTCTGCCAAGAGACTGTGTTGCCCATGGCAGCCAGCCAGGGGGTCCCAGAACACTTTGCAGGCTCTGTGGTCTGTCTGGACATGGTTGACATGTCTTCCCCACAAAACTCCCTCCCTCCCTCTCTCTTCAGATTACAGACCTAGAGTGTCTGTCTTTTCAACACTGTCAAATTCCCTTCTAGTGCCCAATGGATCTTAACCCCTCTGGCACCAGCCAATGGACCCAGTTCCAGTGCAGGTTGGGCAAGTCTGACTGTGGTCAAGTTCTGCCAGACTGGGGTTGAGTGCTGGCTGGTTGTGTGCTGGTGGGTCTGGATCTGGAGGTCCTAGTTAGTCTGGTTTGGTTTCATGAGTGGGAGGTTTCCAGTCTCTGTTGGTGAGTTGCAAGGAGCAGTAGGCTTCATTCACAGCAGCAGCCCTGCTCCCTCCCATATCAAAGCAGCATGGCTCCCACCAGGAATAAACCCCTTCCCACCCCTGCCAATGATTGGGAGCAGCCCTTCAGGTAGAGTTCAGGCATGGGGGGAGGGAGGGCTCCAGCACCAAGGCGGGGTGGGGGGAGGAAGGCCAGGCTGGGTCAGTGTAGCAGGGGTGGGGAGTGGAGGAGTGGTTGGTGGGCTCTGGGAATGAGCTAGGGGGTTGAAGGGCTCACGTGCCATGTTGAGGGTGGGGAGTTTGCTGCCCCACATGACACTTCAAGCTGGCACCTGTGCATGGGGCTGAAGGTGACAGCTTTGTGCCTTTCGAGGTGCTGGTGGGTCCAGGTGGTACTGGTAGGTGGCTTCCCAACCCTCCTCCCCCCCACCCCCCCAGCACCCTTCTTGCTCAGGGTCAGGTTTGTAAAAACTGCAGAGACCTGGGGGTATTGATAGGGGCTAGGCTTTCCTTTACAGGACTGGTTACTTACAAATAAATACTTAAAGCAATTCTCATGGTGACCAGTTTGCCAACAATTGATAGACACATATTTTTGATAAATTTTTGGAAAAATTATTTCAAATACTGAAAAAAAAATGTAAATGTTAAACAACTATCAATTGTTTTAGGAATGTATTCAATTCTGGCAAAATTTCATTATCATGCAAATAAATCAAGTCAAACTTAATTTTTCCCAGTGACCCCCTTAACATGTTAATTACTAGTTTACCCTAGGGCTCTTTTGTGCTACAAGGGAATAGAATTTTGAGTTACAGTTTAAATGCAGAATACCAATATTAAAAAGTGTCCCATCATTACAAACACACCAGCTGTTTAAATTAAAAGTAGGTAGAAGAAATAACCCATGTTATTTCATAATAACATCAAAATATATAATAATATAATCATAATATAGGAAGATTTTAATGAGCAGTCCCTAGCTCTGGTAATTCAGATTTATGTTGAGACTCTGGAGAATGCTGAATATTTCCTGTATGTTGGAAACCATCTCTCACAGGAGACTGACATCAATGAAGAAATCCAACATTACCTTAAAAGTACAAGTGCAGCCTTCAGATGCTTGAAGAAATGAGTGTTCAAAGATCATGACATCAGATCTGAAACCAAGCTCATGGTTTATCAAGCAGTCGTGATCCCCACTTTACTGTAAGAAGCTGAGCTGTGGACAACATACAGGAGACATCTTAAGTCACTGCATCAACGCTGCCAGCAGATCATTCAAATCTAGTGGGAAGACACATGCACCAACATTAGCAATCTCTTGTAAACAAACACCATGAGCATTGAAGTAATGATCATTTGACATCAGCTTTGCTGAACCAGTCACATCATGTAGAAGTTTAGCTCCAGACTCCCAAAGCCAGTTTTATTCTTTCAGCTCAGTCAAGGCATACACACAAGATGAGAGCAGAGAAAGCGCTTCAAGGATGCCCTCAAGGCCATCTTGAAAAAAAATGTAACATTGACATCAGGTTGTGGGAGACTATCTCCCAGGACCACCCCAAATGGAGGATGAGTCTGCTGCAAGGATCTCAGTACTTTGAAACTTTATGATGACAACAGGAGATGGAAAAGATCAAATCCAGAAACCAGTTGCAACAGAGTCTACCAATCCTGCATTGGCCTCATCAGCCATTTTTGGACCCACAGATAAAGCAACCATGGAAAATAACCATCCTTTACTGAAAGGGATTGTCAATTATATACAGAAAACAAGAGAAGAGCCCGCTCAAATCTCTCAAATTACTTCATATATTCCTTACTCCTGCATTGCTTCTAGTCCTCTCTTTCCTCTTACCAGATACTACTCTTTCCATATTTTCTGTGCTCCTTCATTCTCTCTTGTTCTAGCACTAAAATGCTTTGCTAGATCTATCTAGGATAGAAATTTAAAAAAATATTATTTTAAGTTTGAGTTGACTAACAGCTTGAAACATCACTTAGCACCTTGACTAAATTCAGTATAACATTATTAAAACAGTGGTGGATAGCTGGTTGTTTTGTAACCTATATTTCTGTGCTTTTCTTAGTCTAAACAGTCCCACTGTGATGTAATGTTGATATTATTAGTTTTTATCATCAGGGAAATCTTGTAGTCAGTGGGTGCGTCTACATGTGTCCTTACGGTACCTTTGTTACTGCGTCATCATTTAGTACTTCCTTTTGGAAGCACTAAATAATGGTGCAGTAACAGCTCATACTACGCCATGTGCACAGCGCATGGTTATTTTTAGCTGCTGCATTGCCAAAGTAACACTCTATAAAGTGTAGCACATTGCTACAGCAACGTAGCATCACATGTAGACACGCCCAGTAATGCATAATTTATTACTTTGATGCTGATCTGGATGTGTGAAATGTTTGAAGGCTTCCTCTAATTCTGTCTCCATTCACACTGTAATGTAATGCCCTGATTGGTATTTCTCCATACATACAGAAGGAACTGGAAGATAAAAAAAGGGAATATAGCTATTTATGCTTAAATGGCATATTTTGAGGGAACCCCAGCTCAGTAAAGCATATGAGCCTTGGAAGTAATCATCTTCTCTGCTCTCGAAAATCTAGTCATGCCTGCTTTATAAGCAATTTGGCCTACTTGGCACTCATTCTAAAGTGTCCATTTGTTGCAATGCACATAAAAAAGACTCATGACTAAAACCACAAGCAAACGAATAGACTTGTTTTTGTATTGAATGTAAATTGCTTGCTCTATTACTTGCTACTGATTAATTTTGTTATTCCCCCATGAATTTGTTGAATAAACATAATTTATCTGTGAAACTGCCAATTGCTTCATGCCTAGATTGCTGCCATTAAAAAGAAAATATCCACATTGACAGAACCAAGAAGATCTAACAAACCAGTCTTTGTTCTTGCACATCTGCTTCACTGTCATATGACTCTCTACATGGAATCCATCACGGACTGAGCTTAGATGCTGGCAATCCATCAGCATTTAAAGACAGAATAACCAATCTGGTAAGGGAAGGGTAGGGGGAAGAGATAAATCACCCACACTCTTACACCTGTGATCTAAACCCTATTTTGCAAGCAGTGCTAAGCCCTAGGGAGTCCACATATAATTAGTCTCTGTGCTCAATTAGCCTGGGGTCTGGGTGAAACAAGATCTGCTAATTTAGCAAAATTATACTTTTAAAATATGACATTCTCTAAGGAACAGAATGGAGATTGAAACTCGTTTTCTGGGCTGTCAGGAATGAGAGGTCAAAAAACCTGTCCTTTTGTTTGCTATGCTATTTACACTTCTTTTATGAACAAGCTTATTCTAACAAATGGGAATTTGGGAACATGGGCATGATAACAAATGAAGCATATCATTTCAGATTAGGGAGAACACTTTGTGAATTGGCATGCATTTCTTGAAACTGTTGTTACAGCATATTTCATAGTAAAAATAAACTAATATAAACAATGAACTAATAATATGTCTAGCCTTTTCATAACAACAACCTATATGCCTTTTCCTCCTTTGACCTTTTACAAAAAATGTAATTATCATCATCTCCATTTTCCAAACAGTGAAAATGGGCTATGGAGAGGTCAAGTGAGATGTTATTTCCAGTCCAGCTGAAGCCAGGAGTGATCAGCAGTTGACAGCTGTGATTTTGCTATTTGCCTGTAGAAGTGAGTTGCTGATCCCAGTCCAAGTCCTAGCAGACTGATACCCACATTTCAAAACTACCCTTGATTATTGCTCTCCTGGGCCCTAATCTTGCAGAGACGTTCACTTATGTTGATGCACACAAGTCATGTCATTAACTCAAAGACTTTCTTCTTTTTTTTTTTGGCCTCTCATTCATTGACCGCACTGGATCTATTCAGATGTGTACAGTTAAGAGCACATTTAAGGGTTTACAAGATCTGAGTGCTGGTAGATACTCTTAGTAGAAAGATAAAAGATTGAACTATCCTTTAATCCACTGTTGCATGCCTGATGAGTCACAATTGAGAAACTCTGCCAAGGCAGAGTTTGCATGCGTGGGCAGGAAGGAACTATCTGCTGCCAATACAGTGTTCATAATTGCTCTGTGGGTGAATAGAAGGCATGACAGGCTCATGATTTCTTATAAGTAAGAAAAAAATTAAAAATGAATAAATAACTATGAACATAGTTGGATTCTGAAAGTTAAAGACTCAAATAGGCTTGAAGACATAAGATAACCACCTTGCTCTACTTTCATTTGAGGTGTGACACACACATTTTACGTTTCATTAACTCACAATGACAGTAATAATTATCTATCTGATCAAAATCAGATTGACTGATCTATGGAAGTTTCTTACTCAACCATGAATAATCATCACAATTTAATATATCAATGCCCAAATAGCTTGCATTACATTCAGTGTTCATTATAGAAAATTAGATCCTTTCATTTCTGTTCCAGTATTCTATATCAGTATATTTATCCATAGTTTTGCAATAAAGTGCCAGTAAATGATGCTCACTAGTGGGTAACATAATTACTTGGTTGTTATATGCTGCAGCCATCTTCCTTTGGCAACTACTTTAAATCGCTTTTCATAATTTATACTATATTTGCCCCTTCTGAAGATCTGAAGGTTATATCCTCCCTAATGGATGAGGCACAAAGAGCCATATTTGCATCAAAAGGCATCCAACTTTGGGAAGGATAGTGAATGGCCTTTGCTGTAGTTTCTGCTATAGAGAGAAATTTTGCTGGGGGGATCTGCCAACTGAGGTTGGCTAAGATGATATGGCAAGTCAATTCTCTAGCCCAATGATTCTCAACTGATTTGCCATAGTGGGCCACACTTGCCGTGTTAATGTGTTATGTGGGCTGCACCCATGCAATTTACTTCCTGTGTCTCCATTTAAAAAATGTTTTGTATTTGTTATGTCTGATAGTAATGCAATACAAATCAATATTCTTTAATACCTCTCATTTCTGCACTGTCAAATGTTTTTACTTTTTTTTTTAACAGAATGTCGCATGGGCTGCAGCAGTGTGCTGACAAGGTCATGGGTTGAGAGCCACAGCTCTAGCATTTTTTCTTTTGTGCCCACTTTTAGAATAAAAGTTCTAGTGGTGATGGTAGGATTCCAACCCTCCAGCCCCAACCCCTGGTACCTCTTTAGTTCTACTGGCAACAGTAGCAGCAGTGTGGATGTCTCATGATGTTGACTCCTGTACCTTGCCATTAGGATTCCAATTCTCTGGAGTCCAATCTCCTGTACCTCTGGTTTCAGTAGCAAAGTGGCTGGGGTCTCTGATTTCTCAGAAACAGCAGCGGGGGCAAAGGCCTAGCAGGGCAGCTCCCCACCCTGGGCAACTGAAATGCACAGGGAACCTCACCCCTGTCAAAATAGTCTGACAACTCTACTGATTAAACAGAGGAGGGCCTACCTTTCTGGCTTTATATTGTCTCAGTGTATCATTTGTCTCTTTTCAATTACTCTTTAGCTTTATGCCTAGTTCAGATGCTGAGATAATTTATTTTGGCTAATGCCCACCATTTTCAGGGTAACCTAAGTTATCTTTCAAACTGCAGCCAGAGACACTAGGACCAGCAAACAGAAGAGTTTGAGTGGGAGTTCAAGTGAGGAGTTCACTGGGGAGTTTGCCCAGCCACGCTTTCTTAGCTGTCCTTCACTATAAGCTTTCTGAGTAGAAGCAGGTAAAGGAGGAAAAGGGATTTTTCTAGGAAGTAGCAGCTAAAGAGGAAGGAGCTAACAGGAGAATCAGTAGGATGGTAGGAAGATGTTGCAATGCAAAATTCTCTGCCACTGCCAGCACTTCCTCTGCCAGTACATATGCAGACTCTGTCCAGGGGTGCATTCGGGGGGGCACAGCATAAACACTGGATCCTTTCAGTTGACTATATTGCAGAATTGGCAGCTGCAGACTTTTTTTAACTCCCCTAAGAAAGTAAAAAGAATCCCCATCCTTCCCCTCCATGCTCCATAGCACATCCCCTTTCCTCCTTCTCCTTTCTTCCCCCATTTCACTACCCATTGCTGCCCCTGTCTCCAGCTGCCCTGGGAGCAAGGATGGTGGGAGGAGTTCCAGAGATGCTCCTGCCTGTTCCAGCTGCTTGTTCCTGCCGGTTTCTGCCTGTTCCAGCTGCCTGTTCCTGCCGGTTTCTGCGTAGAGCCAGCCTCGGCCAGGAACAGCAGGAGGCAGCTCCTGGTCCCCCTAGATCTTCTCTGCCTGTCCAGGAGCAGGTGTCAAGGAAGGGGACCTACATGCTGCCAGTGCCATCCCTAGACAAGTCTGGTTCCATGTGCAGCCTGGCTGGAACAGAGTAAGAGTGGCTCTCAGGTAAGCTGGGGACAGCAGCAGAAGCAGCAGCAGCAGGGGATTGGGAATAACATGCATGAAAGGGAAGGTAGGGGAGAGGGAAGATTATTACCCATTTGAGGAACTTAAAAGTCCCCTGCTGCTGCTATCATGGTGCAATCTGCCTTCCTGGTGTGAGAAGGAAGGCTGGGAGCCAAGGTGCAGTCACCTTTGGAGCACAGGTCACAGATCCTGCACGCTCTTTTACAAAATTCGGGATCCTTCCATGCCTCTATCCAACTACAGTCACTGACCACAGAGGCTTCTGCCCAGGTTCTGATCTGGCTTTGTAGGGACTGCAGCATTCATGTCCCTGCCAAAGATAGCCAGGTGGGGGACAATGTTTCCTCTAAGGAGCAGCAGTCTGTGAGCGCGCCGCCTCGGTCTGTGAGTGCACCTCCTTGGTCCGGCATGGGACACTTACCGAAGATGGCTAGGGCCAGGGGCCGGATGCTGGGGGCCAGAGGCTAGGGGCTGGGGTCAGGGGCCAGGGGCCGGAGCCGGGGGCTGGAGTCTGGAGCCGGGGGCCAGGGGCTGGAGTCAGGAGCCAGGGGCTGGAGCCAGGGGCTGGCGTGGGCTCCCCAGCTCCGGGGAAGTGCTCCGCTCCCCCGCATCAGGGCTGGGGAGTGGAGCACTTCCCCGGAGCCGATGAAGCCCGCACCAGGCTCCCGCCTCAGCCTCTCCTAGTGCGCGGCCTTGAAAAATCTGTGTGACTACACTTTTAGTTGTGCGCAGCCGCGCACCTTAGAGGAAACCTTGGTAAGGGAGTGCTTGCAGTGTAAGATGGATAGGCTGGTGGAGGAGGTGGATAGGCTCAGACGTATTCATGAACATGAAGTCTTTATTGACTCAATGCAAAGAGCATTCCAGCATCATTGAAGAGGCATTGGAAGACAGAAGACACAGATACTCAGGAAGGTGGAAGCTAGCAGCTTGTCATCTCTGGCAGCAGAGAGCAGTCTTCTGGACCTGTGGATGCCCAGCTGGAAAACAGGTATTAAGTCCTGGTATTTTATGAGAAGAGGCCTACTCCAGTAGCAGGAGAAACCAAGCTATTTCTGCCATGAGAGAGTCAAGATATTCGGTAGAAGCTTCATGTGATTTCTAGCCACTATTCTTTTGATTTAACTATTATAATTTTCCCAGTCCCTTTATTCCAACATTCACATATTTATCTGTCAGCTTTATCAAATAGACAAGATCCCTTTCATGTAAACAGAATTTCATTATTTGCTAGCTTGTTATCAGCTATATTGAACTATCTTCTACTATCTTCTTTACTGATTGAAGTAAGTTTCACAGTTTCATAGTTGGAAGGGTCGTAAGGAACCTGAGGAGATCAAGTCCGACCACCTGCCATGGCAGGAAAAAGTACTGGGGTCAAACGACCCCAGCAAGGTGTTCGTCTAACCTCCTCTTAAAGACTCCCGGGGTAGGAGCCAGCACCACTTCGCTTGGAAGTTGGTTCCAGGTTCTAGCTGCCCTGACTGTGAAGTAGTGCCTCCTGGTGTCTAGTCTGAATCTACCCTCTGCCAGCTTGTGACGGTTATTTCTAGTCACTCCTGGTAGTGCTCAGAGGAACAGGGACTCCCCAGTGCCTGCTGGTCCCCTCTGACTAGTTTGTAACAGGCCACTAGATCCCCCCCTCAGCCTTCTCTTGTGGAGGCTGAACAGGTTCAGGTCCCTTAGCCTCTCCTTGTAGGGCCTGCCCTGCTGCCCCCTGATCATGTGGGTGGCCCTCCTCTGAACCCTCTCAATGCTGTCCACATCCCTCCTGAAGTGCAGCACCAAAACTGGACACAGTACTCCAACTGTGGCCTGACCAGTGCCGCATAGAGGAGGAGGATCACCTCTTTGGACCTGCTTGAGATGCATCTGTGGATACATGACAAGGTATGTTTGGCCTTCCTGACCGCGTCCATACACTGTCAGCCCATGTTCATTTTGGCATCAATAATGATTCCAAGATCCTTTTCTGCCTCTGCACTGACAAGAAGGGAGTTCCCCAACCTGTAGGTATGCTGCTGGTTCTTCCTTTCCAGATGCAGCACCTTGCACTTGTCAGTGTTGAAACCCATCCTGTTCTCATCTGCCCACCCCTGTAACCTGTCTAGGTCCAATTGCAGCCTATTCCTCCCTTCTAGCATGTCCACAGCCCCCCACGCCTTAGTGTTGTCAGCAAATTTGAATAGGGTGCTTTTTACCCCCTCGTCCAAGTCGCTGATGAAGATGTTGAACAGACCAAGCCCTGGGGGACCCCACTGCCCACATCCCTCCAGGTCAAAAATGACCCGTCCACCACCACTCTCTGGGTGCGGCCCTCCAGCCAGTT